CACACACACACACACACTGAAGCTATATAAAAAAAATTATAAACACACAAACACAGATGTAGAGACACAATTATAGAGGGGGGCATACGTAGCAGTCTATATTAATGCCAAATTGATACCTGAGCTATCTTGTCTTAACAGAAGCAGCTGTGCATGAACTTTACCAAAATAAAAGAGTAAGAAATTGAGCTAAATTATGATTATGGAAACTATCTGGTCAAGGCATAAGGGTACAAAGCTGGATAATTATTTTGTGCTGTTACATTTTAGTTAGAACCAAACAAGTGTTGAGGTTTGAATGTTAGAAAATGTGAGATGCCTGTTAAAAGTTAGTAAGCTGAATAACATTAAAGTCAGTTAAAAAACTAGACTGTATATTAGTTACTGCTGATATTCCTTTTGTAATTTTGACAGTGTATAGCTCCCTTCATACAAAGTTCAATAAGGCATCATGGGAGGCAAACACTAACTCTCAACAGAAGAAAAACAAAGTAATGACACTCTGAGCTGAGAAACGCAGATCTCAAAGAGGTACTGTAGCTTAAAAGATAATCCGGAAACTGATTCATATTGAATTCTGCCTAAGGTTAATAGAATATGTTTTCAAATACCAATAAGCAATAGTCACTCTAAGTTGTGCAAAGGTGAAACAAAGAATGACTAATGACATTAATAAGAAACAGCATCTCAGTTTAGAAATAAAAAAAAGTTTGACAGTCAAGAGAAAATGTAGCTGTTTATAAACCCTATTTCTTATTGGTTTACATTTTACATAAGGCAACCTCTCACTTTGATAAGGAAAGAAAAACATAACTGGAATCACAAAGAAGGCAATATGGGTGAGGAAACACATGATACAGGTTATAAACACTGTTATCCAATAAAAATAAGCCTGTAGTACAGTTATGTTACCAAAAGAACTTGATATTAACTGACAATGTTTTACTGTTTTCTTTAGTTTAAGTTTAGTGTAGAAAGTCTCTATATAGAAACATGTGAGATTTTTTTCCCCTCCTGCCTTATATAATTAAATCAAACAAGGAGTACATATCAGCAAAATAAACATATAGAGTTATTAATTTATCATTCATTGTAATCAAACTAATAAAATGTGTTATTTCTGTTATTTTTTTGTTTAATTTGCCTAATTTTGATATAGTCACAATATTCTTAATATTAGTCCTAATAGTTAGACTCTGTGCTATCATTCAAAATATAATGGAAAGTTTTCAAGTGGAAAGAGTGAAATAATGAGAAACACACTTTACAATACTTTTAAATAATATGTTTTAACTCTACTTGGCTCAAGTTTTGAAACAAATTACAAATACTGTTGTTGGTACAGTTACAGTTTGAACACAATAGAGGTTTTTATCTCACCTTCTTTTACTGGCATTGAGAAAATCAATTTATGAAAGTATTTGGATATGAATCTCGACAAAACTGTTTAAAATATATTAAATTAACGTATATATGTATAAAACTTTACCAAAAGAGATTCTGTTTGAAAAACATATTTCAGTAGCTACACAGCATCAGACTGTTGCTGTGAAAATACGTGTAACAGAAGTTAGAGGACTTGAGTAAAGGACAAATGGGTTTGTTTTCAATGATTATTCTATAGCATATATAAACCATAAAAGATCCAAAAGTGTCTGTTTTCATTATTTTCTCGAATGTTTGTCAATAAAATTGTAGAAAATTGAACAAAATGCCTCATTTGTACTAATAAACTGCCCAAAACCTAAAGATATTCAGGTTACCTTTATATAAAACCCTCCCAGTTAAGAAACTAGGACCAGGTAATGTTTAACATTTTGACTCAACGATTAATAATTAATAATAACTGAACTTGTTTTAACTCTCTACACTATACTGTATAAGATCTACTGTATCCATTGGAACAGACACATAACATTTACAAACAAACAAAGTTATTTATTCACCTTCAATTTCAAATTAGATGCCTTCAGGAAAACACACACACACATACACACACACACACACACACACACACACACTCAAATAGATATGTATAAACCACTCAGACACACCAGCTCATAACAGACCACTGTCGCTTCTTTTCTGACATAAAGTCACAGCATTTGCATGTTATTCAAATAACATGGGTGCACTAGTTGTTACATGAGTGTTTTGTATTGGAGCAGTTTGAAAAAGGCTCTATGGACCCTTCACACAGTCGACTGCACCTGCACTTTATTCTAAATAATGCCTCTTCCTATGGAGATCTCTATCGTTTTCACGGTTGCAAACACTGATATCATCCAAACATTTCCATATTTTAAAGACATCCATCCACCCCTCCGCACAGCGCCACCTCCCTGACTTCCCGGCGGACAGGTGCGCGCTCTCACCTGGGGATGAACTTGGCTTGCTCGCCCATTTTGCCCTGGAAGCGCTCCCAGGCGGCGGACACGTCTCCTCCGTCCTGCTCCATGTCCTCTCCGTAGCGGTCGTGGAAGCCGCTGATGAACTCCAACAGGGTGACGGTTCCGTCCTGGTCGACGTCCAGCCGGTTAAATATCCGGTCGGCCTCGGCCGCGGACACCTGCAGCTCGGCGCAGATGGTGAGAAACTCGTTTCTCTCGATGCGCCCGGAGTTGTCCACGTCGTAGGCGTGAAAAAGGGAGCGCAGCCGGTCCTGCTCCTCTGAGCTCATACCCTTGATGGAGGGTTGTGGCTGGCTGGAAGAAAAGAAGGCGTTTCAGTAAATTGTGGCGACGAGAAAAGCCAGAAACTCTACAGAGCTGCCAGCGTTTTATTCTCCGGACACCTGCAAACAAAGTGTAACTCCAAACTGTCCGCTTTTATCCAAACATTTCGACAGCTGTTAGGCATTGACACTAAAATGTAATCGAGTTAATCCATTTTAAGTGATTTTAAATGAATCAAACGTGGACACTTGCGCTCCTGTGCTCTCTTCAGCAAATAATATCCCGGTTTGTTTCGAGTCAACAAGCAGCTGGACGGACAGAGAAGAGAGACTGTGTCTGACTCAGGTGACGCACTAACCATCAGTACCTGTGTGTGTGTGTGTGTGTGTGTGTGAGGTGTGTGTCCACTCCTCTCCCTCAATTCAACAATAGAAGTCTGGGCTTCAGGCCAAATGAAAGCTTTTATTGTGGGGAAAGGCTAATAGTCTGTGATGTAGTTGAATAAACTTTATAAATGATAGAACCAGAGATCATGAACTTATATAATTTACCAAAAAAGCAAGAAAATGAGGCATACATAGACACATTATGCTATACTCCATGTAATTTACATCTCTCTGTAATTAAAATTTAGACTATAAATCAACAAAATGACTTTTTGTTTTGATTAATTATTTACTTTCTCAAAAGGCCTTATTCACTGCATTACATGGAGCACCATGCACTTTTAGCTATAGTCTATTACTTAATGTACTTTTTAAGAAAACCTTTAAAGAAGAATTTTAATAAATCAGATGTCATCCTAAAGCCTTATTCTTTTGAGTTTATTTTAAATCAATTACTTAAACTGCCATAAACTAATTGACACACAGGGAGCTTTGAGCCTTTGGGACCCCAGCAATAGTGTCACAACCCAACACATTATTATTATTATAACATTGTACTCCCATTATCTGAACATTTACATGCTGAATGTTACAAAATGTGACATCTGTATTACTTTCATGCACATTTCATACACTGTAGGAGGACCAGAGTGAGAGATTCAATGACATCTAGTGGTGAATTTGCCCTTTAGCCTTTCAAGTGTGTAGCAGAAACTACAGTGGCTGTGAACTACTGTAGAAACATGGTGGTTCAACATGGCGGACCCCATGGAAGAGGACCAGCGTCTGTATGAACAGCTCATTATAAGGTACCAGAAACGATTCCTTTATTCAGCTGATTATACACTAATGAAAACATACCTATATTCCATTTCTGCCAATAGATCAGTAAATGTTAAAAACATATATGCTTTTTTTATATATCTCACCTGGATATGACATGTTCCTCCTTGTTTGAAACTTCTTCCTTACTTTTTTTCTTCACCTCCGACTCAGTGTCTTCTTCCTCCTGTTGTTGTTCTTTGAAGCCACTGATAAACTCCTCTAAGGTCACTGTGCCATCTCTGTTGACGTCCAGGCGGTTGAATATGCCGTCTACCTCTTGGCACGGGACATGAAGCTCCTGACAAATAGTGGAGAACTCACTTTTTTCAATACACCCTGAATTATCCACATCGTAGGCGTGAAAGAGCGAACTCAGGTGAGTTTGTTCTTTCTCACTCATGCCTCTTCTTGATGCCATAGTTTTGATTTTGAATGACTTTGAGAAGAAAGTGTCTCGAAACTCAACAACAGATAAAAGTGCTATAAAAACAGCCAGAGCCAGTTGGAGTTTAACTGTGCAGCAAAGTCAGACAGTTAAATTTAACCTTGTATTTCCTTTTGGTGAGAATGAGAGCTGGTTGGAAGCCACCGGTTAAGTAGGAGCAAATAAAACGTTTTGCTCCATGTCTGAAAAAATCCCATTGATAAAGGTGGAAAGACGGCTCCAGGATGATTCTCACTCCTTCTGCTACCTCACTTTTATATCTTCTCCTCCTCGCCTCCTCCTCTGTCTCTTTTCTTTTTTGATACACGTGCACTCCTGACGAAAACAGTTTTCATAGGATCCTTAAAAATGGTGTTGCAAATGCTGTTAAGGCATCAAAGTGGAAGAATCCCTCCAGGGAAACCAAAAAGACAAATATAAAAGTGTCTGTAAAAGTAGCAAGCAGATAAAATAGCTTTTTGTTTTCCCTCCAAACAAGTTAAAAATTTAATCCTCAATATCATCATGCCTTTAAAAATATAATATTTGATACCACACTTTGTATACATTTGTACAGCAGTTCACTGTATATGTATTCTGCCAATGTTTGTATTGTCTACCTTTGAATGCTGGTGAAGGAGTTCACTATTCCCACCCAATATTACCACACTACTGTACATATGCTCTCTCATTAAACTCAACCATCCCCTACATGACACTGTGGCAGAGCAGAGAAGCTCCTTTAGCAGCAGACTATTACAACTACGCTGCACCAAGGAGTGCTATAAGATATCTTTTCTGCCTGCTGTAGTAAGACAACTCCTCCTCCAGCTGGCTATATTATAATATATATTGTGCAATGTATTTATTTTTTATTTTTATTTCTGACAGATACTTATTTGTACTAGAGGAAGACACTGTGACTGATGCTTGTATGTATTTTGAGAGCTGGTGGAAACCAACACACACTACAGTGCATCTTGCCTAATTTTAGAGAGTAATCCAGCCCTTTTCTAACAAAAATACAAGGGCAATTAATCAGCCAAGGTAAAGATAACAAGTTAATGAGCCTGATTGAAAAAGATTTAAACACAGCTAAATTATATTGAGATAAAACACTTTATGCCCTGCAGGTAACAGAGCCTCAGGATGGGAGGTCATAGCATATCTGAAATCCATCTCCAAACACACACGAAGATAAATTCAAATAGATTTTATTAATCTCTGAACATAATCCTCCTTGAGACCTTGATTACTGTTACATCACAAATATGTATATAAAAGTAGGAATGTTATGACATTGCTTAGTGTCTACTATTATATGTTGTGTATATCTTTCCAGTTATGTGCAGATGTTTGTGTGTGAATCAGGGCAGAGGGTAAACTTTAACAGCAGTGTTGACTTCTCTGATCTCTCTCTCAGTGGGGAGATGAGCAGAACCGTAGAGATGGAGCACCTTCAACCTAAAGAGAGAGAAACATGGAAATAAGTCTAATTGTGTGCAAATATGTTATGTTGTTGTGCTTTTATAGGTTTCCTAGCTACAGAGGAAAGTCACCCCACAATTAGATACATTTGCAGAGATAGTTTGACTTTAATTACAACACTAGCAACTGATCTGTTCCTGTTTCCCAAGAAAACAGTCATTGTATTCTTGGTTGGCTGTGTTGACATGCTTTATTTTCAACACCACTGAATGGTTCCTAAACTGTGCTCATCTTAACAAAGAGAGAATGTTCTTTTATACTAGTAGGGACTTTTAAAAAATGTTATATTGTAATTATAAGGCAGATACAGTATATCTATACAGCAGTTTGCTATCTGCTGTGAGCAAAATAATTCCCAGACAGCTTAACTTAACACATGATGTATTTATGTTCACTTTGGTTTTAGAAGCAGTATTATACCAGTGGTGGAATAATTTTGATATTTTGCCATAATCAACACAAAATAAAAATACCTGGTTGCTGCTTTAATGTACCAAAAGTAAAGTACTCTTTATGTAGAATTACATCCATTACATATATATGTATTGTCATTTTTCCAACCTTCACAGACACTTTCAATTGTTGATAAGTCTCATATCGTTTACTCTGCTCTGTAAATTAACG